ATTGAAACAAAGAAAATAAGATTCTACCTAGCAGCTCAAATCTGCTCTGAAATAGAATTTGTGGCTAACCCTTCAATCTACTCTTAGAAGTTACAACAATCAGCCGGGCGCGGTGGCTCACGCCTATAATCCCAGCACTTTGGGAGGCCGAGGCGGGTGGATCACGAGATCATGAGATCGAGACCATCCTGGTCAACATGGTGAAACCCCGTCTCTACTAAAAAAAATACAAAAACTAGCTGGGCATGGTGGCGCATGCCTGTAATCCCAGCTACTCGGAAGGCTGAGGCAGGAGAATTGCCTGAACCCAGGAGGCAGAGGTTGCGGTGAGCCGAGATCGCGCCATTGCACTCCAGCCTGGGTAACAAGAGCGAAACTCTGTCTCAAAAAAAAAAAGTTACAACAATCAAAGCAAAAACAAGAAATTGGGACCTTAGAAAATGCTTGCTCGAAGTGTCTCATGCATATATATTCGTATATTTTCTAAATGATTTATTGTCATGACACCTTTAACCTGATCCAGGACGGCAGTCACACTCAGCAAGAGGGACATCAGAAATGAGCATCTCTAACAGTGAAGTCTTCCTTCCCTTAGAACACACAGAACACACACACTGAATCCCTAAAACGGTGCCCAGATGTCTTAGCCCAGCCAGCAGTCCGGGCTCTCCACAGTCTGGCAAGAGTCCTCCTTTCCCGTGTTACCATTCACCACTCCTCAACCCAGCCCTCCGCACCAAACAGACCGTCATTTCCCGCCTCCCTCGAGTCCACATTCCCAGCACGGTTCTTGCTCACCAGATCCCTCTGGGTCCTTGTCGCCTAGGTCAGCTCCAACAATAATGACCCACATCTTTCCTTCTACATATCAAATTCCTTCCTAAACCCCAAGGCTTAGCTCAAGCTTCACGTCCTCCATGTTCAAAGCATGTGTTCCTTGAACATCCCAGCTACAAGTGTTCTGTCCTTCCTTCAGCCACCTGCCACGGCCCCGACTCACGCTTCCCTCCCCGAGTGCAGTACTCTTTTTTGTTCCCCTCCTTTCCTATTAGCCCATGAGAAACTGAGGCTGGAATTTTGTCTTCTTTATATCTGTATCCCTTCAAACTCCTTCCAGAGCCCCTTACCCATCACAGGTGCTCAATAAACTTTGTCACCTCTTTGGTAAATAAAAATATTGTCCATAATGCATGAATCCCATGAACAAATAAGAGCATGTGATTCTCTAGACTGCGCCCGCCTCCTCCCCAGTTCTTTCTTCATGTTACTGAAGCCAGCTCTCAGCTTAGGCTTTTTAGAATGTTTCTGGAGCCCTGTTCACCTAGAATTGTCTAGGTCAGCCTTTGGCTCCTCCCCTCCATTCGTCTTTGAAGAATTTTTTTTTTTTTTTTTTTTTTAAATGAGACAGGGTCTCATTCTGTCATTCTGGCTGCAGTGCAATGGTATGAACAGGGCTTACCCCATCTCAACCTCCCAGGCTCAAGCAGTTCTTCAGCCTCAGCCTCCCCAGTAGCTGGAACCACAGCCAGACACCATCACACCTGGCTAATTTTTTTTTTTTTCATACAGACAAGGTCTCGCCATGTTGCTTAGGCTGGTCTCCAACCTGGCTCAAGCGATCCTCCTTCCTCAGCCCCCCAAAGTGTTGGGACTATGGGCCTGAGTGACTGAGCGGCCTGAAGGGCTTCTTTCCTCAGTTTCTCATAGGCTGTCCCCCTCTCTGGTGAAGGGATACCCACAATAGACTCTCTGGTTAGTTGAACTGACAGAACTACTCACTGACAGTAGACTCTCTGGTTAGTTGAACACTGATCCTGATCTTGCCTTTCTAAAATAATCCTGGCACAGCCATGGTTATTTTAGAAAGGCGAGATTTCAGAGGTTGAGGTTTATGCAGCAACACGATCACAGAGTTTTGCTTGCTTCAGCTGCAATCCATTCTGAGAGAAGCAGACATTTCCAGGTGTGTTCCTGTCACAGCCAGATCACCCTCCTCCCTGCCACCCCCACCTCCGACGCCCCGGCTTGCACTGTCTTCATGCCCTGGAAAGTGTACACAGCAGAATATATGAAACCAGAACCTCTGACCAGAGACTTAAGAAAAACACACCATTCCTAGGCCACTTGTTAGGCGAAAAAGACAGTTGCTAACGAATGAAGGAAGACGAAGCCATAACTGGAAATGCAGGCTTTTCCCTTTCAAGGAGAAATTAATGTTGGCAGAGTTGCTCTTTGAGCTGCCCCTCAATGATTTTGGAAGAGCCATTTTAGAAGAGAGAAGGAAAGGAAGACAGCGTGAATGGCAAACGGAGAGAAGAAAATGGAGAAAAAGGTGATGGAAAGGGAAAACAGAACCGGAGGGAAACAGAGGGAGGAGGGAGCGGAAGGGAGACGGAGGTAATGAGGATGGAAAAGAGAAGCGAGGAGACTGGGGAGTAGGGAGGAGAAGGGAAATGAGAAACGAGAGGGTGGAGGAAGACTGGGGGCACCACCACTGGATCTCATAAGCACGGGCCTGGCCGTGGTGCTGTGGTGGTTTTAACTTCTCCTGCTGGGAACTCTTTTTTTTTTTTTTTTTTTAAGACGGGGTTTCACCATGTTGGTCTGGTCAGGCTGGTCTTGAACTCCCGACCTCAGGTGATCCGCCTGCCTTGGCCTCCAAAGTGCTTGGATTACTGGGAACTCAACATCCACTAGGGGACCGGGCCCCAACAGCTTGTTAGAAACACTCAGCACTACAAAATCTCTATCAGAGTTTCCTAGACCCAGACTACTGAACAGAATTCAGGAGTTCAGTCTCCAAAGGCTGTTGTTACCCTTCTGCTCTCTGTACCCACTAAAGAGGCAAGATCTTTGAAAAGCAGGTGGCCACACATCCGGAGTATGCCTCATGTTCCAGATTACCTGCTAATAACTTCCCCTGTCCTCACTAGTGCTCCAGATTGGATGCGGAATTGTTTGATTATTAATAAGAAATATTCATAAGAAATACAAGAAACACTGAAACTTAGCAAATCTCTAAACAGATTGAAATACTCAGTCTGATCATTCCCAGAAAGAGAATGAGTCTGAATTGGTGACCAGGATTCTTCCTGGAGGAGCCAAGGTATTTGAAACAGTTCCAGGGATAATATGACGGTGAGAGTAGAAGACGGCACCGAAATCAGGCTTCACAGGACAAGGCTATATATAGCACATGCCTTGAATATTGAAATCATAATTTATGGAAATCATTATTTAAGATTGGTGGCCAGGCATGGTGGCTCATGCCTATAATCCCAGCACTTTGGGAGACCGAGGTGGTAAGATTACTTGAGCTCGGGAGTTCAAGGCCAGCCTGGGTAACATAGTGAGACACCATCTCTATAAAAAATACGATGTGGTGGTGTGCGCCTATACCTCCAGCTACTTGGGAGGCTGAGGTGGGAGGATCACTTGAGCCTGGAGGCAGAGGTTGCAGTGAGCCAAGACTGCACTACCACACTGCAGCCTGGGTGACACAGCAAGACCCTGTCTTTAAAAAAAGAAAAAAAAAAAAAGATCCAGTGGCGGAGGAAGAAAAGACCACAGTGATAGTTTCTGAAAGATAAAGCAGAACAAATCATAGATAAATAATGTTTGAGAAATCTCATGTAACAGAGAAACCCTATAATAATTTCTGGTTGGTGGTGAAGCATAGCAATGAATTATTCATTCTAAAATGTACACTGTGAAGGCTCAAGTTAAGACCTCCTAACTCTCCCATACCAAGAGTCTATCATAAGGTAGGAAGGGAGGGAGTAAAGAGGGAGGGAGGAAGAAAGGGAGGGAGGAAGAAAAGGCAAATTTCAAGGCAATCTGTGGGAAGAAGGAAACCTAAGATATTAAATTATGAAGTGAATTATTACCACAAGGAAGCTAAAGAGCAACGAGGCGTTCCCTAGAGAATAAACAGAAAGGAGGGGATAATCCAAAGAGCGTCTTGACAGGGAGGAGTCATCTTCTGGGGAATCTAAGAAAACACTACTTTAGCACCACCCTTAGCCCAGTAATCATTCATATTATTTACACAGTCATTCATTCATTCAGCACACATTCCAGAAGCTGTGAGGAATACAGTAAAGCCTCAGTTGAATCTAACGGCTCTTACTGAGCATCCATGTGTCAGACCCTGTGATAAATGCCAGAGACACAGGCAGGAAGGAGATATGGAGCTCCAGGCTGGGAAGGTCTCAGACACAATCTAGAAATTGTTACAGCTCTAGATCTGTCGGTGAGATTTGAGCCTGCCAAAGGATGAACTGAGAAGTCCCATTCAGACCAAAAGTCACCTGCAGCAGACCACCTTGATATGTAAGAATGGTTTCCTAACATAAGTTCTGCAATATAGCACGCTTCTCTTTTTGCCTTGAGTCGCAGCTAAGTGCTGTACGAATCTGCAATAAGTATCTGTGGGCTAGGTTTTCTTACATTTAATTCCCCCAAAACATTATTACAGAACTCTTGTCCTATTATCCTGATTGTAGTGCTTCCATTAAGTACTGTTTTACTCTAAATCACCTCAAGTTATTCCTAGAAGAAAGCAACTTATAAAATAATTATTAAAAACAAAAACAAATTATAACATTAGGAAACATGGATTGACCCAGGGACCCCTGAGATTCCAGTGGCTCCTGTAAGGGCAGAGAAGTGCCAGAAAGAGGCCAGATACCCTGGCTCACTCAAACCTGAGGAAGACACTGAGGCCAGGACCTCCAGAACTGCCCTCTAATCTAGGGCTGGTCACAGCCAGATCAATGGAAGTGAAAATGAGTTAATTGACAGTCCACATCAGACTTCCCATAGAGTCAAATACATCGTCTCCTCATCACATAGCAGCTCTAGGCACAGAAACCAAGTGTTCAGCTTTCCCTGTGCCACCAGGCAGGATAAGTGGGGCAGATTCAAGGTGAGCCACACCACTCCTGCTGCCACTCCCAATCTCATGTGGTGACAGAGCCTCAGTGACCAGACCTACTTACATCAACAGGTGCAGAGCATTCTCTGTGGAGCAGGATTCTCAAAAACAGCTGGCCTCTGCTTCTCTTCAATTATTTCGGCTTCTTTAAAATAATTCAAGCCACAAACTTTGGAACTTTCTAGAGCACTGAACCCCAGGCAACTTGTAGATCTTCCTTGATGGAGGGGGGGAAAAAGGAGAAAGCAATATTTTATTACAGACTTCTGTTCCATTCATATGTCTTTCCTCCTTGGCACTCCTGGCCAGCACTGTGCAACAGAAGCCTCCCAATCACACCAGGCACTGAAGGAATTGGATGCATCCCAGAGGATCTCAGAGGGATGTTGTTTATACCTACTGATACTTGCCCAGTTAGAATTTAAAACTGAGAATTTAAAATTTGTTAGGCCGGGCACGGTGGCTCAAGCCTGTAATCCCAGCACTTTGGGAGGCCAAGGCGGGTGGATCACGAGGTCAAGAGATCGAGACCATCCTGGTCAACATGGTGAAACCCCGTCTCTACTAAAAATACAAAAAATTAGCCGGGCATTGTGGCGCGTGCCTGTAATCCCAGCTACTCAGGAGGCTGAGGCAGGAGAATTGCCTGAACCCAGGAGGCGGAGGTTGCGGTGAGCTGAGATCGCGCCATTGCACTCCAGCCTGGGTAACAAGAGCGAAACTCCATCTCAAAAAAAAAAAAAATTTGTTGTGTATTAACTCAGTAAATAATGGTAATTTGATTGAATAATGATTGTTATAAAAATAACTTTATCTTCAAACTTGTTACAAAAATAATTTTATCTTCAAAACAAGAAGAATGACATTGTTTTACTTTTTTTTAAATCTCTTAAATATTTGGCTTGACCAGGCATCGTTGGATTATCATATCTGCTTCTGGATTTGTTACAATGGCACACGTCACTGAACTTCTGGAAAACTCCACCATACACTCGTGAGAGAAGGCAAATAAAAATAACAGTATTATTTTAAAAATAATTTCGCTCTGTGGATCTCCTGAAAGGATCTCAAGGACTCCCAGGAATCCCAGAACACACTGGGAATCACTGCTTCACCCAATAAAAAGTGAGTCTCATTTCCACTGCAGGTCATCCCCCTTCTTCAGAGGTAACGAGTTATCAGTTACTAGAATAATTTTCTAGAAACATTCTACACATATATAAAAACTATGGATTTATAGCGTTTGGGGAGGGGGCGGGGTCTGCTGTTGTATTCTTTAGACAGGGTCTTGCTTTGTTGCCCAGGCTGGAGTGCAGTGGAGTGATCATAGCTCACTGCAGCCTTGAACTCCCAGACTCAGATGATCCTTTTGCCTCAGCCTCCTGAGTAGCTAGAACTACAGGCACATACCACCATGCCCTGCTAATTTTTTTTCTTTCTTTTCTTTTTTTTTTTTTTTTTTTTTTGCAGAGACCAGGTCTTGCTATGTTGCCCAAGCTGGTTTCAAACTTCTGGCTTCAGACAATCTAGTGATCCTTTCACCTCAGCCTCACAAAGTGCTGGGATTACAGAAGTGAGCCACCATGCCTTGAGATGCATAGTTTTTCTAATTTAAAAAATTGAATATTAGTATGCTATACATTTCACCTTGGCTTGTCTATTATACATGTGGGGACAATTTCAGGCCTGCATACATAGTTACCTCTTTCCTTTCCTCCGATCTGTGGTTTCCCTCTGAATGGATGTAACTCTCTACAACTGTGTACAGTGTCACAGTGCCAAGGCGGGCTGCTGAATGGCTACTATCAGTTGCCCATTTCTTTAGTAAAGGACACAAGACTTAATGGGAATAAAATGGCCACACAAAGCAAGAACAACTGCTACACATCTGAGCATAACTTTCATCTGGCTTCTAGTTTCCTTAGAAGGTATACAGCTGAAGTCTTACAAATTGGAAAAAACACCCACATTTACCATACTGCTGCGCTTTTCTGCTTGGGGCTTACCTCACTACTCCAGAAAAACTTACATTAACAATCTCTGAGCCAATGTTTATAGGGATGTTTACAACCACCAGCTTCTCTAGTTCTTAAAACATTCACTGTCATCAGCATCACATCAGCTCCAGGGAAGAAAACAGGCCTCAAGTGTTCACAAACAGTCTTTTTTTTTTTTTTTTTTAAGACAGTTTCACTCTATCACCCAGGCTGGAGTGCAGGGCACAATCTCAGCCACTGCAACCTCTGCCTCCTGGATTCAAGCAATTCTCATGCCTCAGCCTCCCAATTATCTGGGATTACAGGTGTGTGCCACCACACCTGGCTAATTTTTGTATTTTTAGTAGAGACAGGGTTTCAACATGTTGCCCAGGCTGGTCTCAAACTCTTGACCTCAGGTGATCCACTCATCTTGGCCTCCCAAAATGCTGGGATTACAGGCATGAGCTACCATGCCTGGCCCCCAAACAGTACTTCTGAAAGCTATTTCCCTGCAGTACTAAGGTGCCAAAAGGTTAATCCTGTAGGTTCACAATTTTCCTGACATAGAAGCTAAAGGAAACCCCCACCTCATAAAGCTAATTTGCTTTGATCACACTGAAGTTCTCAAATGCTAAAAGGTTTTTTGTTTGTTTGTTTTTTAAGGCAGGGCCTTGCTCTGTCACCCATGCTGGAGTACAGTGGCATGATCATGGCTCACTGCAACTTCAGTCTTCTAGACTCAAGTGATCCTCCTACCTCAGCCTCCCAAGTAGCTGGGAGTACAGATGCATGCCACCTCACACAGCTAACTTTTGTATTTTTTATACAGATGAGGTTTTGCCATGTGGCCCAAGCTGATCTCCTAACTCCTAAGCTCAAGCAATCCTCCCACCTCAGCCTCCCAAAGTATTGGGATTAGAGGCATAAGCCACCATGCCTGGCTACAAGTGCTGAAAGTTTTGTAGACCATCTGAGTTCATGTCCTCACTCAGATTTACTAGCTGTACAATCTTGGGAGGTTGCTTAGTGCCTACTTATAAAATAGAGATGATACATACGTGATAAAGTTAGAAGAAAGCATAATTGTAATTACGTACAGAGTGTTCCTACCACAGAGTGGGTACTCAGCACTGAGTAATTGTGAAGTCCCTTCTCCTTATTGTCTATGAACCATAATGAGCTGTGGGCTGATCTTATGTCCTAGCCTTAGCTGGCTTTTCAGGGAACCCCAGTGGTCTCGTCTTTTAGGAAGTCTGAGGATGTAAGAAACTGGGATAAAAGAAAATGGCAGAGCATTTTTTCCAAACAAAAGGAATTCCCCTGGAGACTGTCATCTGTCTGATTCAAAATGAGAAGCACAAGTCCACTTTCCTGTATCCCTCCCCACTAGGCCAGGAAGATGGGGACCAACAGTCCCTGCCCTTCCGTTTCAGCTTTCCAATCTGCCTCCAAAATTACATAGCCCAGTGTGGTTCACACTTACGGTTCCACAGAGCCTAGAGAAAACCCCGCCCAGGCTTGGAGGAGCCCTTCAGGTAAGCATGACAATCCTTCCAAGACTAGAACCAGCACATGCAGTTACAGGATGTATTATTATCTCCATTTACAAATGAGGAAACTGATGTTCGGAGATGCTAACTATATTTCCCATGCAGCCCTACTGAGGGCAGAGTCAGAATTCCAAACCAAGTCTGTCCTATGCCAAAGTGCATGTTTTCAACCACATCATTCATGTGACACTCCAACTAGAAAAGATAACACCGTTCCCATGATGTAGCAAGGCCAGCCAGTTTCATGGAGACAGTGAGATTTCACAGGAGAGACAAATGTCTTTAACCACAGGCTGATGGTCTTAATAACCTAAAATTATAACTAAAATCAAAATCAAAATTCTTAAGAAAATCATTCCTAAACTTGACAGGAAAGTAGAATACCAAAACACCAAAGAGTAAACCAAAATTTGACTCATTTCTGGATTATTGTAGATTATTTATTTTACTTAAATTTAATTAGTATTTTGTTAGGAGATTAAGATTATTACATTATTTCAATAGATTATTATTTTAATAGCTTCATAATTTGATAGTAATTTGTTCAACCATGTTTCTGAGTCCCTAGTATGTAATATGTAATATAGTTGACATAAAGATGAAAAAACATGTTCCTTGGCCTTAAAAAAAGATACAATGGATATTATATGTTTGGGTTGGTAAGGTAATAAGAAAGAAAAGAAGAAGGTGCTAAAGAAGGGAAATCAAGTTGAGTGTTCCCTAAAAATTGTTGGAGTGAGGAGGCATCATTTGACCTGACTCTTGAAAATCACTAGGATTTTCAGGTAGAAAGAATGCAGACAAAAGCCTAAGAAAAGGGAACAATTTGAATAGGCAAGTTATGGGATAAGAAGATTAATAAATAGTTGGCTGGAGGACAGGAACACACAGGTAATTGAAGACAAAGCTGGAAGATGGTTGGCTCCAAAAGCCAGTAAGGGGTGAGTACAAGAGAGCCAGGAAAGCCTTTGGAGGAGTGGGATGGCAGGCTCAGAGCTCTGTGGGGCTGAACCTGGCACGTGGGGTGTTCTGAAGGAGAGACCCGGCACATAATGACCAATGAAAGCCTGATGTACAATAACATCAGAAAAGAGAAATAAATGATGTGGATCTATAATAATGCGGGGAGGGGCTGAGCATGGTGCCTCATGCCTGTAATCCCAGTAATTTGGGAGGCCGAGGCAGATGGATCACTTGAGGTCAGGAGTTCAAGACCAGCCTGGCCAACGTGGTGAAAACATGTCTCTATTAAAAATACAAAAATTAGCTGAGCATGATGACACACACCCACTGTAATCTCAGCTACATGGGAGACTGAGACATGAGAATCACTTGAACCTGGAAGGCCGAGGTTGCAGAGAGCCAAGATTATGCCACTGCACTCCAGCCAGGGCAACAGAGCAAGACTGTCTCAAAAATAACAATAATCATGTGGAGAGGATTGAGGACTGACCAGTGATTATCACAGGAGGGAAGAAGGAAGGAGTCCAAAAGCTTGGGTGTCTGGCCTGCATGTGACCAGGAGCACACTGTGTGTCTGTGTGTGTGTGTGTGTGTGTGTGTGTGTGTGCGCGCGCGCGCATGTTTGAGATGGAGTCTCGCTCTGTCACCCAGGCTGGAGTGCAGTGATGCGATTTTGGCTCACTGCAACTTCCACCTCTGAGATTCAAGCAATTCTCCTGCTTCTGCCTCCTGAGTA